GACAATGATACCAAGTTTCAAGTTTACCATCATTTAAGGTTATACAAGTAAAAAATAGTGTCTTCTAAAGAAAGACTAATTCTGCTAAATGAAACCATTGGAGTCTATTGCTTTTATTCAGAAGTACCATACAGCTAAACAAGCAGTCAAGTCCACAGGGAAATAGCATTTCAATAGCTTCAACACAGTGCCAGACAAGGCTTTGTTGGCCTTCCTTTTCCAAGAAACAGAGATATCTCTTTTTTACTTAGTCCATCTGCTATAAGTGATAACCAGATGCCTGTGTGACAATTCAAAAATTAAAACAAGTGCTTTCCCCCCTACCAAAGCCTAAGAATAGATAGAGATGAGTCGAACAGTCAGTGCTCACAAAGAATTTCAATGCTTTAATAGAAAGCCTCCAAATGAAAGAAACAAAGCATTCAAGCCAGCTAATGGTTCACCTTTAATGTACTACCAAGTACCACTGCTTCTAGCACCAATGGATACTTTTTCATCTAACTATGCTGAGCATTGTTCTAAGCATTACATTTAGTAATTTGCTCAAGGCCATATTAAGCAGCATTGCCACCATGCTGAATACAAGCAGGCCGTATTCAGAGTCCATATTCTTAAACTCTATACTAATTCTAATCCCAAGAAAGTGTAACTAATTTTGATCAAAACTGTTCTGTCTCAATGTAATTTATCAGGAGGAGAAAGGGTAACACCATTTAATTAATAAAACAACATTTTACTTCTGTTTAAAAGTTGTGAGCTAAAAAACAAAAGCATACCATGGACCGGTGTCTATAGACAGATATTTATGATGCTAAACACAAAGCACTAAAGTCATCCATACATGTCCCGAGAAAACTCTGTCAACACACAATGGGATTTTCAGTATTCTTTCTTGATGGATGAATATTGCATGGCCCAAGTCACCAGGCAAACTTTTATGTAGCATTTTTGGGGGTGAAATTTAAAAGTCTCATTATTGACTCCTACATGAAGTCTGATTTGAACCATCCCAGAGTTCACCTTTGTGTGTGTTTTCTTGAACATTTTACAGGATCCCCAGAAGTGTGGTTCCAGTATAAAACTAGCCATTGAAGCAAATTCTGTATTTTATCACCCTTTAGTCAAAAGATAAAACCAGATGTATACAATTTCTGACATGACCTGATTCAGAATAATGACATACTTCTGGAATATTGTTTTTCCACAATCACACACACACACACACACACACACACACACACACACACACACCATCTCTCTTCTAAATAAAAGGTTGATTGTTACTATCTGGCCTGAAAGACATCAGATATGAATATAATTTCACCCTTTTGAAATTTCTCAAACTGGGAGTCTTGTGACCAGAACAAATACTGTATCTACTCAAGGCAAGTAAACCATTATCATTACTACTACTACTACTATTATTTATTTACTTATTTATTTTTAGAGAGAAAAGAGAAATATCAATGTGAGAGAGAAACATGGATTGATCGGCTGCCTCCCTCACCCATCCCAACCAGGGATGGAATCTGCAACCTGGGTATGTGGCCTGACCGGGAATCAAACCCGCCACCTTTTGGTATATGAAACTACGCTCCAACTAACTGAGCCACACTGGCCAGGGCAGTAAACCATTATTTTTATTGTTTGAATTGGTTAAAAAAACAAAAACGCTAATCATGTTAAGAAATGTTTGCTGCTTATAACTAGCAGCTAGTATAAAAAGTTGACATTTTAAGGATCAAGAATTAAACTACTAATTAGATTAGATGCCTAAAGGTTGCCCTCATCCACTAGATTAACTCCCTAAAGTAAAATAAAAATATATCCATTAACATTAATCTTCAAAACACACACACACACACACACACACATGAATACACAACATCATGACAAGTCATAGTCCGAAACCTCAGGGAACTTCTAATTTAGCAGGTAGGGATGAAATCCATATACCAGTAACTACAGTTCCAAGCAGTATGTAATAAAGGACTTTAAATTCAAAAACTCTGTCTGTCATATTTTGGTGTTCATGCATGTCATTTTCTCTGCTATCTGCATGTGCACAAAAGGCACTAGAAGAGAAATACTTTTCATACAGCTTTGCACACCTGATGTGGCATCAGGTTTATAAAAGGTGCAACAAGTATGGGTGTAAATTACAGGAAACCCTTATTTATTATTTCAAAAATCACAATATAGCTAAATTTCCAAAACACTAGAGGTTTTAGCTCAGAGACACTATGGAAACATTCTACTATAAATTCTTCTAAAATCGATTTAAACTTTATTTTTTATAGCAATAATTTCTTCACATGGTCTATGATGCAACAGAATGAAATGAATCACCAGGTTATTACCAGCCTACTTCACCTAAAACAGCACTGATACTCACTCAACTGTATTATACAATATTTGCTGATTTTTAAATAATCACATCTATAAGAAATAACACTCTCCAAAAATATTCAGCTATGTGTTTCATATGTATTTCTTCTACTTTATAACAAATTCTATATATGTATACATCCACAACAATTTTCCACATGAAGAAAAATTTGTGGGAACCACCTCAATTGTCCCCCTAATCTGTCAAAATGTAATTTTGGTCTAACATTCAGGTGCAAAATGATCAGAAAAGATTGATGTTAAAAGTTTTTTAGACTAAGAATTATGAAAATCTAAGGTTCAATAAATAACCCAAAATAGTCTTTTATCTTTAAAAAAGTGACTATGTCTACAATCACAGTATTACTTCTGAACTCTTAAAACACCATCTATTCTAAAAATTTAAATATTTTTCATGGCTTATCTCCATACAATCTTTTGATTACCTGCTGTACTGCACAACTAACAGTTATTCAGAATGAATACAGAACATCTGACATGACCACTCCAATTCTCCAAATAAAGGGAGGGGCACAGAAGGAAAATGCAACACAGTGACATTAATGAAGAGGATCTACAGACCAAGGACATATGATGAAATCTTCCTAAGAAACAGAAATAATACAAATAGCATAAAAAATCCTATTTTTTATTAGGACACAAGAAAGGTGAGGAAAAAAAGACATCAAATGTTGGAAGTGTTGCAGCAGAGTGCAGGGAAAGCAAAAATTGGATTGTGAATAAAGGTGGAAAGTAGGGCTTGACGCCCTACTCAAATATAGAAGGAACAGAGGCAACAGCTAAGAGGTCTAGGTGAACTGAGTGTGATGCAGCCTTGACACCGAGGACTGAGTTCACTGTGTCTCATCTACACTATGAAAACCCTGGCGCTGACCATCCAACAGCCGCAAGTGTGATCATCTCCCAGTACAGCTCCACAGAAGAGCAGCTTTATGAAAAGATTATGCAACAGTCCATTCATTTAACCTGAAGATGACAATACCAGGTTTTTCTTCTTGGCGTCTTAAAATGCCATTTTAAATTTCCCAGTGTGTTGTACTGCCCATCTTTGTTAAAGGAAACTGCCCACCTCTTCACACAGGAAATTCCTTTAACAAGAGACACTGCACCTCTCTTACATGAAAAAGCCTGAGTATTCCCGCATCAAATTCAAGAACACACAGTAGATCATTACAGTTTCTGGGGCTCATCTGGAGGGCAGAGGGTACAAAAAGGGAGGGCTGGACATAAGGATGATACCTTTTTGTTTAGGAAGTCAGGCTTAGCAAAAAAGGTGGGGGGACAAACAGAAGCTGTGCTTGACATAATTGCTTCTGTGACCTATCAGTTTTATTCTCATCCTCAAGTTTATGTAAAGAGCTTTGTTCCCATTGAACACAAAAAACGGTATTATTGTGGTACGTATATGTGGCCTTTTCAGTATGCCACAGGGAAATCTCATTCACTGACCTAGAATAGTTTCAGAAAGTATAAAACCTTTAAATAGTGAGTGATGTAAGGCTTAAAGGGGCAGCATAAACCTGTAAGTACTGAACTGGCCATATGAAACAGTAATTCTTTACACGAGATAGTGATAAAAGCCTCTTGGAATTAACTGACCATTTCCTTAAACTTTCAAAGAGACTGCAGCTTACAGCCGAACCTTCTTATATTTCTTTTTCAATTTCCCCAGAGATTCTGCCATTGTTTCTTCACACAAAAATCACACCCAGCTTGCTTCCTTTCCTTTTCTTGAACCGGTGTTAAGGCACGGTTCTTAACGCGCGCACACAAGCCCACGCCGGTGAACCGCCAGTGGCGCCTGGGAGCTGCAGGTGACAGATGCAGTCACAGCTCACAGATGCGGACGGGCTGCAGCCCGAGCCTGGTGGCAAGGCACGCGCCGACACCACCCGCGGATGCACGTCTCAGCAGCAGCAGAGAGTTTGAAAAACCGTCACTTCCCAATGACATTTACTTCTAGGATTCTTCCTGTGGTCAAGCGCCTACCCCAACCCTTGTCCCGGCTCAGCCCTACCCACAATTCATTCTCTCTTCCTCAGTTTCTAGATCCTTCGTCACATCTTTGGTTAATAAAAATAATAACCATCAAGCGGGTCTCTCGACGCAGATGGGATTTGGGGGCCCTCCGGCCGCGGCAGAGGCCACTCAAGTTTTCTGGGAAACCACGCACCCTCAGCATCTGTGCACGACCCTCCCCTGGTGAGGGCTGCACAGGGGCAGACAGGGATCTCCGGCTCCCGTCTTTCCCGGGGGCGGCGGGCACGAGAAAAACACCTCTTTCCTTCTCGACACCCCGTTGGAAGACGCTCCCCGGCAGCGACGCCCCACCCCCCACCTCGC